TTCCACCCCACAGGTGGCAATAGGGCGAAGACCGAAAGTCTAACACCCACCTACAAACACCACTTAACATTCCGGACGTCTCCCTACGTCCCAGGTCAAGAAGTCGCACTTCAGGGTCGACCCATGTACTGGCTCAAGGAAGTCACTCTTCCAAGGTCGAGCCAGTATGCTGCAACCAAAGGTACAACCGTTGGAAGTTGTACAAGATCCCGGGTCAAGGAAGTCATGCTTCCAGGTTGACCCATGTACTGGGCAAAGAAGTCGCACTTCAGCGTTGCCTCAGTATCTACATTTTTTGTAAAAAAAATGTTAAATCGACGTGACAAAAAAAAAATGCCTGCTCTTGCCCAGAAATGGTTCACACAAATACCCATGCACGCACAAAATGGCGGCCGCATGCACGACCCGCATCCCCTGCGGTTTCCCGCGCTCGCACAACTCAGAAGCCCTCCCTTGAAGGCCAACCCAGACATCTCATGCCACTCGGTAGCACCCCCAGCCTTTCCGACGCGCACGTGGTCGGCCGTATCGGGGGAATTATAACCCAGTCTCTCTCCAAGACTCGCATCGCAGCATGTAGCTGTTCCGACCGAGCTGAGAAGACACAAGAACACCCCTCTCCAGGACTCGCATTGCAGCAATCAGCTGTCCCAACCGGGTTGAGAGGACACACCAACGCCTCTCTCCAAGCCTCGCATTGCAGCAATCAGCTGTACCAACCGAGCCAAGAGGACACACCAACCCCTCTCTCCAAGCCTCGCATTGCAGCATTTAGCTGTACCAACCGAGCTGAGAGAGCAACTCACCACCAGCTCCCTGAGACTCTGGCTCACTGTCTCAAGACGCGCCTCGGAGTGTCTCGATCTCCGGGCCGCCAGGTCAAGCCGTCAGCCACAGCATGACGGGACCACACTCGTGTCAACACGCAACAATGACAGGGGGGCATTCTGGTCAGGATCTTTGGCCCAGATTAGCCACAGCCAGCACACAATCCAAATCACTGGCACCATATGTCACCATCACAATTCAACGATCCGTACCAAGGATCACAACAATGTACGTCACAACCCGTATCAGTGCAGAGAGACAGTCTATGCAGTACATACAGTCCACACATCGCGATCTCGAGAAAAATCCCATACAATCAACACTTCGTTAACAAATGTGGCACAAGCTATATATTAACAATCACGAACAAAGCTCCATACAAAGCATACATTGTTAACACTCACAAGCAAAGTTTCGCACAGTCACACATTGACAACATTCACGAGCGAAGCTCCATACTGTATGTCCAAAAACAATCGCGACTCCGCAACGGCAATCAAACAAAGTGTCAACAAATCATTAACCCGGCAATTCACTGGATCTTAACGGAGCCCGAGACCCCCCACATAGCCGAATTAATAATTAACTGGCTCCTTAAGATAACAATCCCGACGCCGTACTTAACAACACTGTTACAAAGCAGACGCACGCACGGGCGCCGCGTCAATCTCCCACGCACCCAACCCAACTAACACGCTTCGCAACCCAGCGAATAACAAAAAAAACCCCTAAACCCAACCCGGCGCACGCAAGATGGGTGAAGTGTGTTTTTAGGGCCGGGTGCATTGTGTCACGACTCGCCTGAGAGGCCGTGAGGAACGGAGGCTGCACTGTGGAACTTGAAGACTCTTGGACGGTGAGCACAGGATGCCACCAAGACGGCCCAAGATCTCCCTCCACAGGCGTTGAGAATGGCGGGAACGGCGTTTTGGCGGGAACGGCGTTTTGGCGGGAACGGCGTTTTGGCGGGAACGGCGTTTTGGCGGGAACGGCGTTTTGGCGGGAACGGCGTTTTGGCGGGAACTGCGTTTTGGCGGGAACCGCGTCCCGACCGCCCGCCAAGATGGCGGCCGCGCGTGCACCATGCGCGCGCGCGAATTTCCCGCCCAGGCACCCGCAGCAGCAGCGGCGGCGGCGGCGGCGTCCTCTCTCCTCCAGCTCCGTCGCTCTCTCTCTCGATGGCGGCGAAGCAGCGACGTGACGTGTGTGCTGCTGCCCCGCCTGCAGCGCCATCTCCCTCCTTCACCGAGGCTGCAGAACCGCGGGGCTGCCCCGAAGATGATCGTCTCGCCTCCTCGTCGTGTGAAAGCGAGCAGGTAAGTTGTAGTAATCGTGCACATATTGTACTGACTAGGGTAACACCTAACGTTATTTATTTTTCCGCAACTTCTGACACCAAATGTAGTGGGTTCGAATTAGGTGCACACACGACTCCTTGGGAGGCAACGCTGATGCGTTCCCGTCCGTACTGTGTCCAGCCACCACATCTGCAGGTCACGAAACTTATTTTATACTCTTTGGTTCTTTCAGTAAAGTCACGTAGGTATCGAAAGAACCAAAGAGCATGGATTCCTGCAGTCACGAAAGCTTCAAATCAAGATTGAAACTTATTTTGTCACACTGCTCGAATTTGGAATTCCTATCGTATCTTATCACAGTTTCCAAAAACCTTGCCGGTTGTTGCTGGCCACCTGGCGTTAAGGTGCAGCCCTGAAATTGCTCGGCTCACGCCACCGTTGGTAGAAGAGCGTCAACTGGAGGAAGAGGGGAGAGGATATTCTGGTCTCCACTTCCACGCTGGCTAGGCGACTTGGAACACTGTGGTGGTGTTCCAGGCACAGGCTGAGGAAACCCCAAAGCAGCGTGTGTCAAGGAAAGCCAGAGTCTGCACAGTCACTGCTGTAGAACGGGCTAAGGAAAAACCTGTTTAGTATTTGTGTATACGTTATGGGTTTTCTTAAGAGAGCACAAGCTTTGAAATATGTGTGTGTTTTTTCCACTGGATAAAGCTGGGTACTTCCTGCTAGTGATATACAATTTAATGATTGCACCCAGATTTAATTACACAAGATAATGGTTAAATTTCGATTTAAAGCTTTCGTGACTGCAAGGATTCATCTTATTTGGTTCTTTCGGTAAAGTCACGTAGAATGAGAATAAAATAATACATTGATAAGATAAAATAAAATAACACAATAATATTCTCACGACGTTTCGGCCACAACACAAGCGGCCTTCATCGGGTGAAGGGGACGAGACTGTCTGGAGGACAGCGCTGTCCTCCGAAACGTCGTGAGAATATTATTGTGTTATTTTATTTTATCAATTTATTATTTTATTCCCATTCTACGTGACTTTACCGAAAGAACCAAAGAAGAAGATAATGGTACTGGCAAATGCCCTTATATGTTTACTGTCGTGCAGAATTCCCCCATCACGTTAAATAGCGTTACAAGCTTGTCTTTGCCTAAGAGGATTTAAATTCAGAGCTACAATCATGTTTTACAGGCTCGATTGAAATACATCAACAAAGTTATCGAGACAAAAACAACTATCACGTGAAGAATCACATATATTGCAAGTTAAAATAAATATTAAGCAAAAGTTAAAACGTAAATTCCCTGAAGCACAAATCGGTTCGGGAAGATTCCTTCTAAATCGATTACAGGACAACATTCTAAATGATACTATAAAAACACCATTATGATCGTGTTAATATGTAACGACAAGGATATGTGGTGTTAAATGCAAATGACGTGAGAAAGAATTGACAGCTTCGCATCAAATAGTTATTTCGATGGGAGAGTAACCGTGGAGATTTTTGAAGAGATGGAATTCCAGATGTTTGTGGCTTTAATATAGAAAAATGCTCACAGTTTACACTGAGTTTGATTCTCTGTGCGAGTCTAGGGGTCTCCATGTGAGTCTATGAGTCGCTGTGTGAGTTTCCGTGAGTCCAAGGGTATCTGTGTGAGTCCTTGGGCCTATGAGTGAGTCTATGGGTCTCTGTGTGAGTCTATGGGTCTCTGAGTGAGTCTATGGGTCTCTGTGTGAGTCTATGGGTCTCTGAGTGAGTCTATGGGTCTCTGAGTTAGTCTATGGTTCTCTGTCTGAGTCTATGTGTCTCTGCGTGAGTCGCTATGTGAGTCTATGGGTCTCTGTGTAAGTGTATAGGTATATCTACGAGGCTGGGTCTCCGTGTGAGTAAATGAGTCTATGTCAGTCAGGGTCGAGAGTCTATGTGAGTATATAGGTCCCTATGCGAGCCTATGCGAATCTATGGGTCTCTCTGCGAGTCTATGAGTCTCTGTGTGAGTCTAAGCGTCTCTGTGTGAGTCTAAGGGTCTCTGTGTGAGTCTAAGGGTCTCATTGTGAGTCTACGGGTGTTTGGTCCTCGGTACAGTGTACGTTAGTGTTGTGCCGCAATTAAGATTTGAGGAATTTGTTCCTGAATAAACGCTTTGTGTAGGTAAATGAAATACATACACACATACTGTTTAATCAGAAAATGGGATCTATATTGAAAAATAAGGTTATTAATGACAATAATCAGAATATTGCAGTGCTACGTATCGTCCAGTTCTTCTTTATGGATGTAAAAGGAGACACCACAAATTGAACCAAAAGCAACAGAAATGTATTTTTTCCCAGAAGGAAAAGAGATTACGGACAGACAAGATGGGAAAGGAACGTTCGATTTCATGGACATTTAATTAAAAAAAACGAAGACATATTTTGACTGGGGACGTTACAGGCACCACAAAGAAGCCGTGGAAGGCATCCGGGAACGTTGCGCAAGATATGTGAATAATTTGGAATGCATCTGGGAGAATGCCTTGCAAAGTTCTTGAGTATAAATGTCATGGGCAGAGCTAAATGGAAGGAAGGTCACGATCGCCGATGTCTTGGCTCACAGAGGCAGGTAATGGACTGGGTTATGCGCGCGTGTGTGTTGTGTGTGTGTGTTGAAGGTGAACTTGACCAAATGAGTCTGTCCAAGTTGAAAGTCAGAAACCCGGTCCAGAGTTGTCTCGTATTGAACCAATGCTGCTGAAGTTACGTAAACCCAGAAGGCCTTGCGGCTGATAGGACATAAACAAAAATGCTCACGCATTTATCTGCAGGGAGAAAATTGCAAAGGATAATATTTTGTGTGCTTATCTATTTGTTACTTATATTCTCCACAGCAATGCTAATGCGTATTGTGTTAGCTGATGATGATAACCGTACAAGAACTGTAGAGAAGCTCTATCATGAAGCCAGATGTATCTCAGTGCTCACGCCTCTTAACAGGCCTCAGGTATTGAGGCCTTTATAAAGACTAGGAGGGGTCTGACAACAGGGCTGATAATCGTTTGTCTCAGGTTCATTTCCACTGTACACACACTCACTCGACGATTTATTCGATGTCATTGCACGCATTCAGCATTGACTGAACTTCGTCTGGGCGTTGCAGGGTTGCTAAGGAGCTTTGGGTGGAAAAATTATCCATGGCACTGGAGTCGCTCAGAGGGGCATCCTTGTGTTGAACGGAAGCACGACGCGAATGGAGCAACATCAGCACCATCAGCACAGTAACCAAGAGGGACAGACTCACTGCTGCTCCTGCAGCTATCGCTGCATGCGCTTTGCCATTTGCAGATACATCTGGGCCTGGATAACAACAACACACACACACATTGATAAAGTACACCCCGGAGAAGTATCGATGAAGAACATGTACATCATCCCTTGTTGTTACTAAACCACTGCCGTGTGCACGTAGAATCATCGTACCGCTGCAGACGGCGTCGCTGGCGTTCGTACACGGAGACAGCTCTCGTTCACAGCTTCACAAAGACACAGACACCCGCGCACGGCCAACAGTTTCAGAAGACGTGTAAGATAATTTCACCGTCAGTTGACATCTCCAGGGCGACTTTGAATTGTTCGCCGCAATCTGTGACCACGTAGAGTGGCAGAGGTGGTGCAGACCCCCAACCAAAAGTCGTTTTACGGGTGACTCCGTCAGTCAACCTTTCACATTCTTACCACGGCGTGCGATTAGCACCGGGGAACGGGAGGCGTCGCAAAGTGTCCTGCACTGGACCCACCGTGTGCAGTTTTTGCAGGGGGACCCGGAACGGTCACGAAATGTGCCTGGAGGACAGTCAGTGCACTTGGTGACCTTTGAGAAACCTGAAGGGTGGGGAGAGGGGTAAGACGGTGTTAACTCAGACCATCGTCTATAAACTAAACAAATGGGTTTTTTTATTTTACCAGGTGAGCTGTTATGTAGCTGATTTTCAGACGTGACCTGGCTATCACAAATTGAATCTCAGCATTCACGACCTCGCCTCGTATACAGGAGTTCCTGGGTTCGATCCCGACCCTGATGCCAGCTGTATATTTGGAGTTTGCATGTTCTCCCCATGCTCGAGTGGATGTTTCTCTGGGTCCTCCGGTTTTCCCCTCCACGTATAGATTCAACGTGCGTTTATAGTATTTAGCTGCTGTAAATTTCCACGTGATAAGCCACTTAATTGGGATGTCATTTGTGGCCAGGTCGACGAGGTCTAGCGGCATAACTCGGAAAAGATGTGGAATTGTAGAAAATATGGAAAAACTTGTAAGTTTCTGGGATTGAGTATGAAAGTCAGCATAGCGTGCTGATTCGTAAGTTGAACATCCAGCAAAATGCTCAACGTTTGAAGACTCAGTGAATAATACACACACACACACATTGATTAAGAACACCCGGAGAAATATCGATGAAGAACATGTACATCATCCCCCTTTTGTTATTAAACCACTGCCGTGTGCACGTAGAATCATCGTACCGCTGCAGACGGCGTCGCTGGCGTTCGTACACGGAGACTGCACTCGTTCACAGCTTCACAAAGACACAGACACACGCGCACGCCCAACAGTTTCAGAAGACGTGTAAGATAATTTCACCATCACCACGAAGTGGCGGTGATATTTCGAGGGCGACTTTGAATTCTTAGCTGCAATCTGTGACCACGGAGAGTGGCAGAGGTGGTGCAGACCCCCAACCAAAGTCGTTTTACGGGTGACTCCGTTCGTCCACCTTTCACATTTTTACCACGGCATGCGGTTAGCACTGGGGAAAAGGAGACGTCGCAAAGTGTTCTGCATTGAACCCACCGTGTGCAGTTTCGGCAGCGGGACCCGGGATGGTCACTAAACGTGCCTGGAGGACAGGGGCTGCACGTGGTGACGAAATCCGTAAAGGAACCTGGAGGGTGGATAGAGAGATGAGACGCTTTTAACTCAGACCATCGTCTCTACATTTTTATTTTACCAGGTAAGGCCCGCTGAGCTACAATATAGCTGTTTTTCAGAAGTGACCTGGCTATCATAAATGAAAACTCAACATTAACTACCTCGCCCGGTACACAGGAGGTTGTGGATTCGATCCTGACCCTGGTGCCCGCTGTATATTTGGAGTTTGCATGTTCTTCCCATGGTTGAGTGGATTTTTCTCCGGGTCCTTCAGTTTTTCCCTCCACATTTAGAATCAATGTGCGTTTAGAGGCTGTTGTAAATTTCCACATGATAAGCCACATGATTGGGATATCATTTGTGGCCAGGTCTACGAGGTCTACCGGTATAACTCGGAGCAGATGTGGAATTGGAGAAAATATGGAAAGACTTTTAAGTGTCTGGGATTGAAGATCAAAGTCAGCATAGTGTGCTTATTCATAAGTTGAACATCCAGGAAAATACTTAACGTTTGAAGACCTCAAGAAAAATCACGGCGAAGAGGCCCCTTTGTCTGCATAACTCCACACCACTGATCACCCAAGAGACCTTGATCAGCAAGATATTCAATCATGTTTTGTCTAATTATTTGTATTTATTATTAGTTTAAATTTGGAAAACTTATAATATATGTAATCACGCATTTTTTCCCCAGACATGTCGGCTAGGAACGCAACCCCTGATTGTAACATGGGAAATTATAGTTTGCCTTATGAAATAATTTTGAGTTCAGTAGCATTTCCAAGGAACGCATCCATTACGTTTAGCGGGGGGGGGGGGGGGGGGGGGGGGTGGGGGGGAGATTCCAGTATTGTGCTTGTACCACATTCGTGACATGTGCGTGCTTTTATGGTGAACCGATGAGGACGGTGATGAAGATTGGTTTCTCACATTCGTTCAGAGTCTCCATGCCCGCTGGGCATTTTGGACAGCACCAGAACAAGGTGCCCTGCTTTGCAAATTTCGAGATGTTCTCGTCCTTCTCACAGCCACACCTGTGGCGAGTTAAAGAGACACAACCAGGGGGCATGAGTGCCGAACGGCTTGGATACTTCTATAGACTGCGTAAGCCGATAAGATGGCATGTATAGACTATTAGCGAGCACCTATTAAGTGCGGCACGGCATATTATAGCTACACACACACAAAAACGCGTGCTCACACACATACATGCACATATATGTTCTCACAAAATTTGAATTTACTAGCGGTAAGTACCTGGCGTTTCCCAAGTGAAAAAGACAGACACACATCGACTTACACACACTTTCTATAAACATGAGTTTAGTGGAAGAAGCAAGGAACAGAAATTTGACAGCACACAAACATTATGATTGTAATATTAGCAAGGTGATTATTGAAAAAATAGGTTGCTATGAAGGTGATTTGACACCAAAGAAATGAATGCAAACCAAGTTAATAATCAAATAATAGTTGTGAGCACACAGACGGAAATACGTGAATATTTTGAAGGTGATAATAAAAATACCAGGTTTCTGTGTACAAGAGATGAGCAAACGAAGCATGGAATACAAGAATTAGTTGTCTGCAAACAAACATTATTAATGTACATTGATTGTATCTTTCGGTAAAGTCACGCAGAGAGAAAAATAATTAAAAGTGTAAAAAATATCACACAATACCATACAAAAACAAGAACCGCCATTCAGCACGAAGTGGCGGTGATGTCAACACGATGCTTTGTGGTAGGTTATGTGCACCTTGAGGCCAGGTGAAGTGTCGAATGCCCGCTGGCAGGAGGTGACGGGGCAGACCCAGATGCCACAGGTCGACTGAGACGACTGGTTGATGCACCACCTGTGCCCCCTACTGTGCCAACTTGCTGTGCTTTAGCCACCCGGCGCTCCGCTCGTTGTGAGCGTCACTCCTCCGCCCCCCGTTGTTGATGAAGGACGACTGCCTCCAACTGGCCAGTAGTGTGCTTCACGAGCCTCCTCCACAGAGGCCGATCTTTAGACTACTGGTAGCAGTCATTGGCAAGTCCACTCAGCTGCACATCCTCCTGTAGCACATCACTCCATCTCTTGTCTAGCCCGTGCTGCGCCCGTTTAGCCCCCACGATCCGGTCGAACAAAAGCTGTTTCAGCATGCGGTGGCTGGGCATGCGGGCTACATGACCCAGCCATCGCAGCCTTGCCTGCCGGAGGAGCTCACCGATGAGACTTTGTCCACATCTTTAAAGGATTTGTGAGCTCCTCACAATCCAGCGTGGTTAGACACCGGATGGATCGTAAGCAGCCCAGCCTAAATGTTTGTAACTAGTGAAGATGTTCCATTAGGGGGATCCACGTTTCGCATGCGTAGAGAAGGGCGGGAATGACTGTGGCCGAGAAGACCTGAAGCTTCGTGTGGAGCGACAGACCAGGTAGCTTGCACACAGCGTAACACAACCGATGAAAAAATAATGCCGCTGGACTGATTCGGAGTGAGACCTCTGCTGTTAAACCGGAGCCGGTCATGAGCACTCTGCCCAGGTATGGGGAACTCTCCACTCTCTCCACAACTGGCCCATCACCAATTGGGAGTTGTGGGGGTGGAGTGTCCGATGGTACAAAACACCCAGGCAGGTGCTTAATTTTGGTGGGGCTGATGGCAAAGCCCCACCTCTTAGTGGCAAGCTCCTGGTTCAGCAGCAGCGCCTCCAACTCGTCCTCTGAGTGAGCAGCAATTAACATATCATGGGCATACATAACATCCCTTGACCGCATCCGGGCATCGATCAGCCTCCCATTGTATCTGTAGCAGATTGAAGGCTTCACGAAGTACGTGGTAAAAATAGATGTAAAATCATGTGGGAGCCAGAGGACATCCCTGTCGCACCCGAAGGTGTAGAGGGAATGTCTCCAACTCACGACCATGTAGTTTTACCCAGGCGGCAAAGAATATGAAATCCTGCAGTGACGAAAGCCGTAAGTGAAGATAAGTAATGCAATAATAGGAAGGTGATATTTTCCAAAATAGGTGTATTTGAAGGTGAGTTGACAAAATAATAAAGATGAAAGTAATGGCCAAGATATAAGCCAAAAATATTAGGTGTACGATTTGTATGGCGTGTATGGCATTGTGACAAATGCAAAATGTGTGAAAATGTTTGTAGCTACGTGACGTAAGAGAAAGAGGCAAACGAATATGAAATCCTGCAGTCACGAAAGCTGTAAGTGAAGATAAGTAATGCAATAATAGGAAGGTGATATTTGCATAAAGAGGTGTATTTGAACGTGAGTTGACACAATAATAAAGATGCAAGTAATGGGCAAGTTACGAACAAAAAACTATAATAGAATATTTCCAAGGTGATGAATAAAAGCAACAGTTTTGTACACACGTGATTGTTGCGTACAAAGCAAGGAATGTTGCGCTCACCATAGCCGTGGTTAGGCCCAGTCCCGTGCGGAGCCCCCGTCCTGGCCTACATTGCCGAGCCGGTGGAGGTGGCATATTGCCAGGCTGGGAGCTGGGCCACTACCCCACCCCCACCACCCCCACCACAATCCCCCCGCCCCGTGCAACAATAATGCTATAATATTACTATCTAGACTCTGCAGTATTAACTGCACGCATCGTGTTGGGGGGGCGAAGAGGACATCACACTGTTAAGAAATAGCCGCGGCGTTGTCTGTTTTGGTAATTGGGTGTTAAACGCGTAAAAGAAAATGTCCCCCGTGAGCTGGACCGAACGCGCATCACTTGGTATGGTCCACCGTCCCCCCCCACCCAAATGGCGTGAGTTGGTACGGCCGATGTCGCGCAATAAATAAATAAATAAAGCGGAATCCCACTACATCGCTAATGCAACTAATTTAAAGATGACGGACGTGAAAAAAATAACCTATGCCTGGCAATTTTTTTTAGACATGTACCCCACCGTTCGAGAGCCAAATTCCTCGCAAGCGCGCGTGCCCATAAACTTTTATATATAAGAAGATGATGATGATACGTACCTTGCGTTCCGAGTACGTGTGCAGCCCTCTATCTTCACCTGGTGAAACGCTACAAACGACACAGGCATTTTTCTTAAAGCATAGAGTGTAAGTTTTAAGATTAATAATTAATTTATTGGGCTAGATTGAGCTTGTGAAATGTCAATTAGAGGTATGCATGCTCCACCAACTGGACACAGCCAAACAGGCCAAATTTTCATTTGGGGCACGAATACCGAAAGATTTACACAAATTATAAAAATTGTAAGTCCGCCATCACTCTGACACGGCTGCACATGTGGCACAAGGTGTTAAGTAGGGGTCTGAAATAAGCCCCCGCCCCCCACACCTCATAAAAAAGTCACATCAGGGTGCAATAAATGTCATGCCTCGGTACGATGGCTGCTTAGTAGTCTAAAGGATTTGACGTGGATGGGAAAGGCAATGCTGTGAATCCTGATTGTATTATTTGTATTTTAAGGTATTTTTGCTTGCTTGATGGTCGTATGAGTAAATGTGACTAGTTGTTGTGAGTTTGTCCTTGTTTCTTTGGTAATGACATTGATTTGGCTATGCGATGTCTATTTGTGATGGAGCATCATGTCATACTGCGTAATAGTGGTACATCCTTGATGGTTTCAGTCACCATGTATTCATGTTCTCTGCAATTAGTGTATTGTAACGCTCATAGGTGTTGAGCCTCGTGTTAAATCACTTTATTCCACTCGATAAAGGTTACAGTCACTGTGAATATGGGGTGGTTACGTCGATTGACGACAGCCTATAACCCAAGCGTCATGGTGAGGTTATTCGAAGGCGGTTTAATTGCGGTAGGATCGCACTGAAGACCTAGGTGTAAAATACACGGCCCGCCACTGCTAATAACCACATGATACACTATTGTAAAATTAATAACATGGCGTGTGTCAAACTCGGATGAACTATTGTAAATTCACCTGGAATGCAGCGCGTGCAGTATTCGAATCTGGGGTAGATGTTGTACTCCGAGTTGTAGGTGCCCTCAGGGCACGGCTGGCAGTCAGTCGGCGAGTCCGCGGTGCACCAGGCGGATCGAAAGTGTCCTGTCACCCAATCCCGAACACAGACACTCGTTTAAAATGACGTCTGTTAGCTCCTGTTTATTTTTACAACTTGGTACGCTGTGCAAGGCCACTCGGCGGATAGCAACTGTTCAACACGCATGCAAGATTGTTCAAGTTAGGGTACCCATGTTAATCTGAGCCTACAGAGAACTAGCATTAGTCAACAAAAACGTCAATATACACAGCACCTAAATGCAATCGCATCATACGTCCCAATACAATAATAATTTTAAAAATGAACATTAGAGCTTGTTGTCGAGGTTAATGCGTTGATGTTGGAGGTGGTCAACATGCAGAAAGAGACATTGGGGAAAGGGAGGATGCCCAGAAGATTTGAGGTATCAAGGGCCGACGGTAGAGTGTCAGATGGGCTACCATTCATTAGCATTAGGCTGTGGCCAGGAAGTTTTTTTTATTAAGGGTTTCACTAAAAATGCTTACTGACAATGCAAGAAGGGGAGTACATCTTGCGTGAGAGGGAGAGGAATGCAATTTGGAAATTGGCCACTTAAGCATTGGTGTGTACCACAGTTAATGGTGCTGTAGCGTTGATGATTCCCCCACCTCCATGTATCACGGTTGGCTATGTATGGTGCGAAAGAAGTTCAACATTCATGATCGGTTTTGTTTCTAAAATTATTTTGATTTCTTACCAGAAGGACATTGATCACAGCAGAGGCCATTCAGTTCATATTGCGTGGAGCGATTGCAAAATCCTTGTGACGTATGCACTCCTCCAATCAAGACACACAGCGCCTGGTTTGAGAGCACACACAACGCGTACACGCAGACATAAACATAAATGGTGGTGATGTCACCATGGTGCATGTGCCAGGCCAGGTGCACTTTGGGGCCACGGGAATTGTCAACGTCTTGCTAACAGGAGGTCACGGGCCAGACCTAGGTGCCATGGGTTGACTGAGATGATTGGAGGATGCACCAGCTGTGCCCCATACTGTGCCAAATAGATGCATTTTAGCCGCATGGCACTCTGATCTATGTGTGCATCACTTCTCTGCCCTCCGTTGTTGTTGGAGGGCGACTGCCTCCAACTGCCCAGCAGCGTCCTTCACGAACTTCCTGTTCCACAGAAGATTATTTTGACACCGCTGGTACCAGTCTTCGGCAAGTTACCTTAGCTCCACATCCTCCTGTGGCGCATCAGTCCATCTCTTCTCTAGCCCGTGTCGTGCCCGTTTAGCCCCCTCTATTTGGCTAAACAGAAGCTGCTTGGGCATGTGGTAGCTGGGTATGCGGGCTACATGACCCAGCCAATCCAGCATGGTTGAACCCAGGATGGATCGTAGGTAGGCCAGCCTGAATGTTTATAACCGGCACAGATGTTCCATTATAGCGGTCCAAGTTTCGCAAGCATAGAGAAGGGAGGGCATGCATGTGGCCTAGAAGACACGAAGCTTCATCTGGTGCAACAGATCAGGTAGCTTCCATGTGGCATTACGCAGCCGATGAAAAGATAATGCCACCCGACTGATTCGTAGTGAGCCCTCTTTTGTCAAATCGTAGCTGGTCATATGCACACTGCCCAGGTGTGGAAAACGTGTTGAAAGACAAAGATCCCCCGTTATAGCCTTAACACACTGTTAAGGATAATGCTGTTAGCAAGCACTGATGAAGTCCGGAACAGCACACGAGGGGGTGGGTGGCCAGCACCACGCCCAGCTGCCTTTGTCTCCCTAGTGGTGATGGTACAAATTACACTAGGTACTTATTTGAGGCTTAGTTAACCTAGGTGAGGCCCAGGACCGGTTCAGATAATCTTTACTCATGTTGACCATGAGCGGGAATCGAACCCGGGTTGCCGGGTTCGTAGTGCAGCGCACTAACCACTAAACACAGTACACACACGTGTACAGTGTGCACGCAGATATGGACACGTACATTTCCCCCGCCTGCTGATGTCGACACCACAACGTTAAAAATCCATTAGGCAAATGCGTTACGTCGTTTGGTCAAAGTGTGAAAGTGGAAGGGATGCTGGTCGATGGTCGAGACTAACGATGGAGTGGCAGCCAAAGGAGGGGAACGGACGCTTGAGAGGTCACTCGCCACCGTGGAGACGGAGGAGTAAAATTAGCTTGAGTGGCTGTGTAACGAACATTTTTTATCACCACGGGGACGTCCTATCGGGCGTGTTGCCTCATTTGGCTGCTACTTCTACAAACGTTTTATTTTACCAGGTACAGCCCACTGAGCTGTATAGCTCTTTTCAAGAAGCCACCTCGCTATCACAGATGAGAGTTAAAGAAAGTGGCTCACAATGTGGACATAATTGCGGCCTAATAATTTAAATGCGCGTTGATTCTGAATGTGGAGGGGAACAACCGGAGGACCCAGAGAAAACCCACGTGACTACCATGGGGGTAGAGAGAGAGAGAGACAAGCAAACTCCAAATATACAGCAGGTGTGACGGTCGGGAACGAACACATGACCTAAATTCAAACAAAAAAACGAAACTTTTTATTTTACCAGGTAAGGCCCATGTATATATATAAAAGTCAAATATTGCGTGTGGGATTTTGGCGGGGGTTGTGTGTGGGTTTCTGTGTGGTCACGCGCTTGGCTCTCCAACGTTGGGGTTAATGTAAAAATTATATAGCCAGGTACCACGCCGTAAGCCCCGCGGTGAGCCCAGCACTATTCCTTTTTCACATCCGCCAACTTTAAATAAGTTTAATTAGTGATTTAGTGTGATTTTTGTGGACTTTCCATTTATTTATTCATGACGCGTGCACGACCATACCAACTCACGCGCCGTTGGTGGGGGGACGGCCCATGCCAAGTCGCACGCCTTCAGTGGGAGTGAGGGGGACATTTTCTCTCGTGTTAAAAATTCTATAAAATACACTAAACGCTGACGTTAATTTTTCACTGATTGATGTCCCTCCCACCCCGATGCGTGCAGTTATTACTACTATACAGTCGCTAGATGCTACCACTATAGGCCGTAGATATTACTGCATGGCGGCCGGGGGAGATCGTGGCAGTGGGGGGGTGGGTCAGGGGTAGCAGCCCAGCCCCAGCCTGCCAAGGTGCCACCTCGGCCGGCTGGACAATCTAGGCGAGGCCGGAGGCTCTGCACGGGACTAGGCCTCACCACGCCACTCTGTCAGGTGAGTACTTTGTGCTATACAGTCGATAAATACTGCTATAGAGTCAGCATGTACTACTGTAGTGATAGCAGGTACCACTACAGTCGGTATGCACTGCTGTAATCATAGCAGGTACCACCACAGTCAGAATGCACTTCTGTAATCATAGCAGGTACCACCACAGTATGCACTGCTGTAATCATAGCAGGCACCACCACAGTATGCACTGCTGTAATCATAGCAGGTACCACCACAGTCAGTACGCACTGCTGTTAGATTTTTAAGAGTAGTTTTGAAATATTTTTAAGACCCGGGCAACGCCGGGTACTTCCCTCTAGTTGAGCTATATGGCTCTTTTTCTGAAGCAACCTGGCCACAAATGATCGCTCAACGAAGTGGCTTATCACGTGGTAATTTAAAGTGGCCAAATAATCTAAACGCACGTTGATTCTATGGAGGGGAAAACTGGAGGTCCCAGAGAAAAATCCACGTGACCACCAGGGGGGTAGTGGGGGGGATACACAAACTCCAAATACTGTATACAGCAGGCGCCAGGGTCGGGGTAGAACCCACGCGCTCCGGCTATCCAGGCGAACGAGATAACATCTCGCCACTGCGGCGCCCCAGACGTTCGCCTCGAGCAGCAGTGAAATGTTTATTCTGTTCGTATACTCACAGCTGTGAGGATGGCCGAATACACCATATTGACTTGATAATTCTGTCCTGGATGACACACGCTTGTGCCTTGGAAAGAGTGCCGTGAGTGCCAAGGTAGAAGAACAGTTGGCTTCTGTAACTTGCTGTTTGGATCACGTCCTGCTGAATCCCAGCGTGATGATTATTTTGCTCGTTTGCTCGGCTGAGTTTTGGCTGGACGTTCATTGTAGTATTTGATAAATCTGGGCACACTAAAAAAAGAACGGAAAAAAAAATTCTCAATGTTAGAACATTGTAGCCTGTTGGTGTGTGTACACCTGTGGTGTGTGTGTACACCTGTGGTGTGTGTGTACACCTGTGGTGTGTGTGTACACGTTTGTGTGTACACTGTGTGTGTGTGTAATGGTGTACGTGTGTGTGGGGAGGGTAGTGGTTAGCGCGCCACGCTAAGAACCCGGCGACCCGAGTTCGATTCCCGCTCCCGGGCAACACCACCACGTGACGATTATCTGAACCGGTCTTGGGCAACCACTAGGTCGACTCAGCCTTAAATGAGTACCTGGTGTGATGTGTAAACATCGCCACTAGGGAGACAAAGGTGGCCGGGTGTGGTGCTGGCCACCCACACCGTCGTTTGCCCTGCCGGCCTTCATAGGTGCTCGCTAACACCATTTTCCACCACCAGTCTACCACCACCCGTGTACCGCCACCACCACCCATGTACCACCTCCACCACTGCCACCCATGTACCACCACCACCCTTGTACCACCACGACCACAATCCATGTACCGTCACCACCCTGCTGGGTAGACAGAGGCGGGTAGGGGATGGGGGGAGCGGGGGGTTGTAGGGTGATGAGGGCGTTATGTCTGTATGTTGCAGCGTACATAGCCAGCCGTAGGTGCGAGTGAAGGACAACCAAAATAAACTAAAATCAGTTTTAAAGAAATGAGATTTCAATCTAGCTTTAAGCGACGTAGAATGAGAATAAAATAATAAATTGATAAAATAAAATAACACAATAAAATTCTCACGACGTTTCGGCCACAACACAAGCGGCCTTCAGACAGTCTCGTCCCTTCACCTGATGAAGGCCGCTTGTATTGTGGCCGAAACGTCGTGAGAATTTTATTGTGTTATTTTATCAATTTATTATTTTATTCTCATTCTACGTGACTTTACCGAAAGAACCAAAGAAGATGAATCCTTGCAGTCACGAAAGCTTTAAATCGAAATTTAGATTTAAGCGGTTACTTGCCCACGTCATTGCGTCGGGCAGATTCAACCCGTTGCAGTCTGCGTATCAGAAGTTCCACAGCAGTGAGACGGTGCTACTGAAGATCACCGATGACCTCTACAAGATCACGGATGACCTCTACAAGATCACGGATGACCTCTACAAGATCACGGATGACCTCTACAAGATCACGGATGACCTCTACAAGATCACGGATGGCCGGTGCAACACAGCGTTGGTTGGCCTCGATCTCTCAGCCGCGTTCCACACCATCGACCGTGAGACACTCATCGGGCGTCTAAGGTCAAGGTTCGTGTGTCGAGTACGACACTGAAGTGGATTAAGTCATACCTCGACGGTCGATCACAGTTCATCAAACTGGGTGGCGAACATAAGGATAGGTTTTCCCCTTTCTGGCCATGTCTCGGGATTCATGTCTGCATTAACCACAATACCTGCAGTCAAAATGCAAACAAAAAACATAATGTGATAATATATGCATTGTCCTTGAAACTGATTGGTCCACACCAAGGGACGGCTTTCTTTTGAGCCTCGACCCAATTGGTGCTCGACCAGATGACGGCAAAAGGCGTACAGCTCAAAGACAATGCACTATCAAAGTAATGAGGGCTCGGGGTGAGCATCTACATCATTAGACCTCCTTTGCCAGTACCAAAATATAAGAATAGGGTTTTTTCCCCTTTTTTCCAAGCATTGACCCAATTGGGTCGAGGCTCAAAACATAACCAT